CGGGAGCTTCCCGGGACCGTACCGGCGCCACCCCCGGGGCCGCCAGGGCCGCTCTGGAATTAGCCGCAGCACCGCCGGGATTTTCTTGGGACCGTACAGGGGTCACCCCCAGGATCACCAGGGCCACACTGGAATTAGCTACAGCACCATTGGGATTTTTCTCAGGACCATATTGGGATCGTCCCCGGGATCAGACACAGCACCACTGGAATTTTCTGGGGATCATGCTGGGATCACCCCCAGGATCACCAGGGCCACACTGGACACTGGGACCACACCAGGATCAGCTGCAGTGTCACCGGGATCCCACTGGAATCAGCCACGGGATTGCTGGGGTGAGATGCAGCACCACTGGGTTTTTCTCAGGACCATACCGGCATCACTCCCGTGATCACCAGAGCCAAAGTGGAGACTGGGACCACACCAGAATCAGCCACAGCACCACTGGGATTTTCTCAGGACCATACTGGGGTTGTCCCTGGGCTCTCCCCCAAGCTCACCAGGGCCACACTGAATTTAGTCACAGTATCACTGGGATCCCACCGGTATCATCCATGGCATCGCCAGGGTCAGCCACAGCACCGTTGGGATTTTCCGAGGACCACGCTGAGTTCACCCTCAGGATCACCAGGGCCACACCAGAATTAGCCACAGTGTCCCCGGTATCCCAATAGGATTCAGCAGGGGATCACCAGGGCAAACCAGGATTAGCTGCAGGACCACTGGGGTCTCCTGGGGGTCACACTGGGATCACCCCCAGGATCACCAAGGCTACATCAGATGACTGAATCAAAGCAGGCATGGGATCATCAAATCTCCCCAGGATCACAGGGACCATACCAGGGTCAGCCACGGGATTACCAGGGCCACACTGGAATCAGCTGCAGTGTCACTGGGATCCCATCAGGATCCAGCAGGGGATCACCAGGGCCACACCAGGATCAGCCAAGGGATTCCCAGGATCTCACTGGGGTCAGAAAAGAGATCACCAAGACCACACCTGGATGAGCTGCAGGACTGCTGGGATCACCAGGACTACACCTGGATCACTCACGGGATCACCAGAATCTCCTCAGAATCACACTAGGACCACCCCCAGGATCACTGAAGTATCCCAGGATCTCACTGGTGTCACACTTGGAATTTCCAGGATCAGCCAAGGGATCACCAGAGCCTTTGATCACCCCTGGCACACAAGCACCTCAGGAATCTGGGATCACCAGCTTCCCTGTCATCTCCCATGCCCTGAGGCACTGGCACACCAGGATCCCCAGCCCAGTGTCAGCAGCCCTGGGATCACTGGAATGCCCAGATCACCCCCTGGATCACCAAGACCCTTGGGATGACCAACAGCTTTAGGAGCCTTCGGAAATAAGTAATTACAAAGTAAAGGTGATTTCTGGGATGTTATCCTCTTCCAGGGAGATGGTGCTGTTACAGAAAAGAAAGAAGCTCTAACAAGTTAAACCAAACTGAACACTGTGGACCCGTTCATTTTCCCAGTATTCCATGGAAATGGGACAGAATATGGAAAACCTCCAAGCTGGGATGATCCCGCCACGGCTGCTACCATCGTGGCACTGGGATGTTGCCAATGGCTGTGGAACACAGGGTGTTGCACTTTGGGGCTTTCAGGATTCTTCTTCAGCTTACCAAATACTTTTGAGGGAGCTGGGAAAGGGTCCGGAGCACCAGGAGGGGCTGAGGGAGCTGGGGGGGCTCAGTCTGGAGGCTCAGGGTGACCTTCTGGCTCTCTGCAACTCCCCAACACGAGGTGCAGCCAGGTGGGGGTTCAGGCTCCACTCCCAGGGAACAAGGGACAGGACAAGAAAGAATGGCCTCAAGAGGAGGTTTAGGTTGGATTTTAGGGAAAATTCCTCCTGAAAAGGGCTATCCAGCCCTGTCACAGGCTGCCCAGGGCAGTGGTGAAGTCTCCATCCCTGGAGGGATTTAACATCCATGTGGATGTGGCACTTGGGGACATGGCTAGTGGTGGGCTTGGCAGTGCTGAGAGGAGGGTTGGACTTGATGATCTCAGAGATCTTTTCCGACCAAAACCATTCCATGATTACCCATAAACTAATTTTTGTTGTTTCATTACTTTCTGCAGGCAGATCCAACCAGCAATGACCAGATGCTCCAACAGGAATAAGTCCAGGATGCTGGAAGCTCCAGCACTGGGAAGGAGGCAGGTGGGAGCAGCCCTGATTGTCCAAAACAACCTCTCTGAGATCCCACTGTGTTTTCCAGAAGCTCAGGAAAACAGGTGGAGTTGTTTGAACTCTCTGGCTCGTGTCCTGTCCAAACAGTAGGACTGATTCCCAATAACTGTCACTCTACATGCACAAAGACTGGGAAGTTCAGTTTTCCTGCTGTTTATTTTCATAGATCAATCATGGACACAAACATGAGGCACTTTTGAGGTGGCATTCCTTAGGGAATGCTGGGATCCAGGCTATGTGATGTGCAGGAAGGACAGGGGCTTGTTCTTCCCAGCAGCCCTGATGATCCCAGGTTTCCTGTGCATTTTCTGGAGGGATGACATGGTTCTGCTGTAGGTGTGCTGGAAACACGGAACACAAAAGGATCGTTAACTTCAGCTTAGTTTTCAGAGCACATTTGTCGCCTGTAAAAGCTTCTTTCCTGAAAAATAAACATCTTCCCAGCCTTTCCAAGGATGCTGGAAAAAGCTGCCCGAATAATCCCCATCACAGCAGAATTGCTCTGCTGGTAGCAGATCCCAGCAGGCTTCAAGGAGGATATGGGAAATCCTGGGAAATTCTCTTCCTCAGCACTGAAAAGCTGTTTTTGAGATGTTTACAGAGAATCCCTCAATGGTTTGGGTTGGAAGGACCTTAGGGATCATTCAGTTCCAGCCCCTGCCATGGGCAGGGACACCTTCCACTAGCCCAGGTTGCTCCAAGCCTCATCCAACTGGCCTGGAACAGCTTCTCCCTGAGGGAGCTGGGGATGTGAGGAGAAAGCTCCAGGGAGACCTTAGAGCCCCTTCCAGTGCCTCAAGGGGCTCCAAGAGAGCTGCAGAGGGAACCGGGACAAGGCCCTGGAGGGACAGGTCAAGGGGGAATGGCTTCCCATTGCCAGAGGGCAGGGCTACATGGGATATTGGGAAGGAATTGTTGGCTGAGAGGGTGCTGAGCAACTGGCACAGGTTGGCCAGATGAGCTGCCCCATTCCTGGAAGTGTTCAAGGCCAGGTTGGATGGGGCTTGGAATAACCTGTTCTAGTGGAAGATGTTTGACAGAGTGTGGAATAGGATGAATCTTAAGGTCCTGTCCAACCCAAACCAGTCTGGGATTCTAACTGAACCCAGCTGGGATTACCTTTTGATCTGTCTTCATTCTGGCCCTGTAGAAGGGGACAGAAGTTGGGCAGTCAGGCAGTGTGGTCTCCTGCATCTGCTTAAACCTGTCCTGGTCATCTTCCTCCTGCCAGGGAAAAACAGATCGCATTCCATGTGAAAAACACACCTGGACACATGGGACAACCAATGCCATTTGTTGCACCAAAAAGCAATTCGACCATCCCTCCAAAGCCTCTGAGGTGAGAGAAGTTTGGGCAGGACTTTGGGCAAAATCCATCTGCAAGGGTTGGGGCTTTCCCAAAGGGAATTCCCTCAGCCTTTTGCTGCAGGCATGCTCTGCCAAGAACTATCCACAGGACAGTGTCCCACTGCAGGATGATCCCACAGCATGATGGACACCTGAGTTTCAGTGTTGTCCCCTCAAGCCCAGCTGGCTGATGTCCATCATGTGCTTCTCTAGGGAAAAGCCTGGAAGGTGTGACCACGCTGAAGAGGAACCTGAGGTGAATGAAGTACAGTTTTTAAAGATACCAACTTGTATCTACGGTTTTCATGCCAGATTTGGGGATGAATCCTTAGTCACCACCTGTGGTGGTTCATGAGTAGCCTGGAGAAGGTTACCGTGACATTCCAGTAGGATAAAAGGCAGGTGACCAAATCACATCAAGCCAAGAGTGAAAGATGAACACCCTGAAATTGTGGGTTAGAACAGTAAATGAAGATTTAGTCTACAACTCCCTGACAGGAGGTGCAGCCAGGTGGGGTTCAGGCTCTGCTCCCAGGAAATAAGGGACAGGACAAGGGGAAACAGCCTCAAGCTGTGCCAGGGGAGGTTCAGGTTGGATATTGGGGAAATCTCTCCTGGAAAGGGCTGTCCAGCCCTGGCACAGGCTGCCCAGGGCAGGGAGGGAGTCACCATCCCTGGAGGGATTTAACACCCATGTGGATGTGGCACTTGTGGATATGGTTAGTGGTGACCTTGGCAGTGCTGGGGGAGGTGAAAGGTTTGATGATCTCAGAGGCCTTTTCCCACCTCAACAACTCAGTGATTCTAAGAGCCAGGATGGAATTAATTAATTCAGTAGGGTGGGGAGGACCTGTCTCTAATCAGCTCTAAACTCTTCACATGAACAGGGAGTGAAAAAATGTTTCAGTGAGATTTGCAGTCAAAATATTTAGATACCTGGAGACAGGCAGTTCCTGTTCTCTTTTCCTTCTGAAAAGCCAAACTCATCCTGTACCTGAGTTGTGTTCCCCAATGCAGAAGGGGACTAGAATCCCAGAACAGTTTAGGCTGGAAGGGACTAAAGATCACCCAGTCCCACCCCCTGCCATAGGCTGGGAAACCTTCAACTAGACCGGGTTGCTCCAAACCCTGTCCAGCCTGGCCTGGAACACTTCAGGGATGCAGCAGCCACAGCTCGTCTGAGCAACCTGTGCCAGTTGCTCAGCACCCTCACAGTCAAGAATTCCTTCCCAATATCCCATCTCATCCTGCCCTCTGGCAGTGAGAAGCCATTCCCCCTTGTCCTGTCCCTCTGGGCCCTTGTCCCAGGTCCCTCTGCAGCTCTCTTGGAGCCCCTTGAGGCACTGGAAGGGGCTCTAAGGTGTCCCTGGAGCCTTCTCTTCTCCAGGCTGAACATTCCCAGCTCTCCCAGCCTTTCCTCATAGGAAAGATGTTCCAGGCCCTCGGAACATCTCTGTGGACTCCTCTGAAGCCACTCCAGCTGCTCCACATCCTTGTGCTGTTGGTGCCCCAGAGCTGGAGGCAGCACTGCAGGTGGGTCTCACCTGAGCAGGGCAGAGAGGCACAATCCCCTCTCACCTGCTGCCCACACTTTCTTTGATGCAAAAAATGTGCTTTGTGAGGGTGACAGAAGCCCCTGGTACCCCATGGTGGTGGTTCCTAGCACAGCACTGGCTACAAACCAGTTGCCACAACACGAAACACAACAGTTTGGCTGTAACACCATAGATCACACACTCTGGAAACCACGCCCCAAACACTTCCCTCCACCTCCAGGCAGTTTGCCCAATGCCTGATAGGCCACAGATGCCCAAGTACCTCAGTCACTGTCCTGTTTTAGCCACTGAATGATGAAGTTAATGTTACAGCAAGATGTGGCTCCAGATGGTAATTCTGTGCCTCAGAGCAGAGCAAGGGGCAGAGCACCAGGCTCTCCTCCTCCTCCTCCTCCTCCCCCCCACAGCTCCCTCATGCCCTCATCACCCCACATACGTCTCCAGGGTGGATACACAGAACTGCCAGGACAACTCACCAAGCACATGACTCTGTTTATGGGAATCATTCCAGGTCTGATGTTCCCACCAGGCTTCAGAGCTTCCTGCAGATCTTCGGGGATAAGGAAGGACTCACTGTACCAGATCTCAAACTCTGCAAAGCGAAGAGAGCAATTAGCAGGCTGTAACGACCAAGAGACAATGGTGGGTTGGTTCCCCCTGCCTGAGCAGCAGATGGGATCTCAGTTCTCTGAAATACTCAGAGGGAGCTCAGAATTCCAAAATCTTGAGTTTAAACGACTAGAAAAGTTAATTAAACAGACCAGGAGGCTATTGGTGTGCTGAGGTGGCCGAGAGATGGTGGCTGGCCCGGGGGACAGTCCCCTGGCCACGAGATGGCACTGGTCCTGCAGCCCACGGAGCTGGAGTTATCCCGCTGGAATGCTCAGCTCGTTTGGGGCTCGGATTTCAATGCCAAATGCTAAAGCACAGCCGTTTTCCATCCCACAATAGCCATGATAATACACAGCAGGTGGGACTTATGTCCTTATTAATCCTGGGCATTTTCCAGGCACTCTGGGATGACACAGATATTAAGTGAGACCATGCCTGGATGTTTGAACAAACAGCAAACATCTGGAGCACCCAAAAATGCCAAACCTGGATCCATCAGGAACCAGTGGCAAAGTTCTGATTTGGCCCTGTTTATCCCTGGAATGATCCATGAATTTCTTCCAGCGTGGGATGCTCTGATGGATACAAGCTGTCCCCTGGCAGGTCTGTAGGAGTCAAGTGTTGTGGTGTGCACAGCATCCAAATGTTTGGGACTCTGGGACTTGTGCACTGACTGGATTCCATCAGAGGGGACAAATCCAGGGATACAGCAGGACTCTGCTTCTGTTAGTTGGAATCCAAACATGGAGCACACAGGAATTTGCAGGGATCTCCCCAGGCAGAGGTGTGTGTGACTCACCACCATGAGGGTGGTGACCACTGGAACTCACAGGAAGATAGAGAAGACATGTGGGCCCCAGAGCCGAATCCCTCGCCCAGGGCAATTCCTTAGCTACCACCTCTGTTTCATAAAACCAAGGATGAGATTCAGGGTCAGCACTGCTGGCAAATTACTTGTGGAAGGCTTTTCCCCACAGTATTGCATCTAGTGGTGTGACCAAGGAGTGGAGTGTCATTGTATGGGAGAAAGAATCTGCAGCAATTCAGGGTCAGGTCAAAACAATCACCCAATCCTCAATAAAAACAGGTCTAGAAGGCAACAGGACAAAGGAGAACAGAGGATGGTAACTGCCTTCAGGGACAGGAGAGAGGAGAGGACAGGATTAGATGGGATACTGGGAAAGAACTCTTGACTGTAAGGGTGGTGAGATAGTGGCACAGGTTGCCCAGAGCAGCTGTGGCTGCCCCATCCCTGGAAGTGTTCCAGGCCAGGTTGGATGGGGCTTGGAGCAACCTGGGCTAGTGGAAGGTGTCCCTGCCCATGCCAGGGAGTGGGACTGGATGAGCTTTAAGATTTCTCCTAACCATTTAAGATCTCTCCCAACCATTCTGGGACTTTCTGATTCCATGATGTGAAATGCTCCAGTCTAGATTTATCCTGGCTAAACTGGAGGCTGCTGAGCAGTACCTGAGATGAGTTTTTTCCTGCACTTGTCCACCAGCTGCTGGCAGTACTGGATCTCTGCGTTCAGGTCCTGCAGCTCAGCACAGCCAGACCTGTACTCCTTCTTCAGCTCTTTCAGTTTTATGATGTACACAAACTCCTTCTCATCAATGATAACCTGTCCCTTCTCATCAGTATATTCTCCTGGAGGGGGAGAAAAGGAAATAAAGGTTTCTGTAAGGGTAGAGAGGATGAAGCACAGTCACTACGCTCAGAACCACATGGTAGTTACTGGGTTAGGTTGAGGTTAACCACACAATTGACATTTCCTCAGACAAGCTGCCTACAAACAGAGGGTGGGAGTGGTGTGGGGCAGAAATGACTACTGAATTCCTGACCCTGTGCAGGTATGGGTCCTCCTCAACCAGGGACATGTGCAGGTGGAGAGGAGGGAAATGTGACAGCCTGGGGGGAAGGTGTCACTTGGCTCACATGGAAAAACTCCCTGGGCAGCTGTGGTGAAGGATTTTTGAAGCTAAATCCTGGTCAGCCCTTTGGGACAGTTAAAACCATGCTGTCCCTCTGCCCTGGCAAGCAGCAGAGGTGATTTGGTGGTCTCACGTCCCAAAATTCTTTGGAGACAACAGCTCTCTTTCTCTGTCAGATCCTCACTGGCCACAGTGACTTACCCTCCTGCCATCTCTTCTGCTTATGAGCCTCCAGAGCCTCCCTGATGCCCTCCATCTCCTTCTTGATGAGGTTGATCCTCTGAGCTACTGAATTGCTTTTCTTCTTCCTGTCCAGGAGGATGTTCTTGTTCTCTTTGAAGATCCTGTTGATCTCACTTCCAGCCTCCTTCTTAAACAGTTCAAAGGCCTCTGGCTTGGATGGAGGAGAGCTGAAACCAGACACAGACAGGGGAAGGTCAGTATGTTCTGCCCTGCAGCATAGAATCATGGAATCATGGAATTGTTCAGGTTGGAAAAGACCTTTAAGATCATCAGGTCCAACCATTCCCCAAGCACTGCCAAGGCCAGCACTAACCATGTCCCTAAGTGCCACATCCACATGGATGTTAAATCCCCTCAGGAGGGATGGTGACTCCCTCCCTGCCCTGGGCAGCCTGTGCCAGGGCTGGATAGCCCTTTCCAAGAGGAATATTCCCAATATCCAACCTGAACCTCCTCTGGCACAACTTGGTGCCATTCCCTTTTGTCCTGTCCCTTGTTCCCTGTGAGCAGAGTCTGAACCCCCACCTGGCTGCACCTCCTGTCAGGGAGTTGCAGAGAGCCAGAAGGTCTCCCTGAGCCACCTTTTCTCCAGACTGAGCTCCCCCACCCCCCTCAGCCATTCCTGGTGCTCCAGATCCCTCCCTGGCTCCATTCCCTTCCCCGGACACGCTCAGCCCCTCAATGTCTTATTGTGAGGGGCCTAGAACTGTTCTCAGGATTGGTGGTGAGGCCTCACCAGTCTTTGGGAATGGCCACAACTGAGGTTTGTTGGAATTCAATGGGCCCTTTGAGGATCTCCCTGTGCCAGCTGCACCCTGGCACCATCCCTGTGCCATCCCTCCCTGGCTCCATTCCCTTCCCCGGACACGCTCAGCCCCTCAATGTCTTATTGTGAGGGGCCTAGAACTGTTCTCAGGATTGGTGGTGAGGCCTCACCAGTCTTTGGGAATGGCCACAACTGAGGTTTGTTGGAATTCAATGGGCCCTTTGAGGATCTCCCTGTGCCAGCTGCACCCTGGCACCATCCCTGTGCCAACCTCTGTCCCCACTGTCCCCCAGGCTACTCACAGAAGAAAGAGCTATTTACATAGACACCATGTTCTTCAGTAGGTGCCTCTGAATTGAGTATTCCCTGGAAACTGAGCCCTTAATGGGCTGAATTTTCACCAAGATAATGGATATTGTTCCTCCCTATTGTTAAACAAATTCCTCTGCTCTTAGTGGATTCCCAGCACAGATCAGTTACCTCTGCCAGCCAAATCCCACAGCTGTGTTGGATGACTCTACAAATGCTCCTGGCATGGCTTTGAAGTCCTGCCTGTTTCCAAAGTCTGAATTCCAAGTGGCCTGTGTCATTTCTGACTTTTCTATGGAATGGCTTTAATGCCCCTATGAACACCTGCTGTTACTTCAACACTGGGCAAAAGCAGAGTCCCTTGGGAGAATGTCCCAATCCATGGATGCTGCTCTGTGCTGTGGAAGGTTCTTGGAGAGCAGGATGGATCTGGGAGCAGAAGGTGGAATGGTTTGGGTTGAAAAGGACCTTAAGATCATCTTATGCCAACCCCACAGGTGACTTGAAGCCTTTACATTCCTCAGTCCAGTCTGGCCAAAGCCAAACTCCAACTACTGTGTCTCCCCAATAGACCTCTTAAGGGCATTTCCCAGCTCCTCCAAAGCTGTGTGATGCTGTTCCTGTGCCAAATTACTGGCAGAGGGCTGTAAACAACAGCCACTGGGCAAACTGCCATGGCTCCAGCTCCAACAGCCAGCTCCAAGCTGCTGGAAGTGCTCTGGGATGTGCCTTCTGCAGCTGCAGCAGCAGCACCCTGTTCTGCCAGCCATGGAGCTTCCAGAAGGACATTAAACATGGGCAGAGGGCATGGAGGAATGGGGAAACATGTGGAGGTGCTCCAGGAGTAAATTCTCCTGTGATAGATTCACTCTGATGCAGGAATTCAGCCAACAGCATCCTGGACTCATCCCCACACTGTGGGCAGCAGGTGAGGGCAGCTGCAGCAGCAGCACCCTGTTCTGCCAGCCATGGAGCTTCCAGAAGGACATTAAACATGGGCAGAGGGCATGGAGGAATGGGGAAACATGTGGAGGTGCTCCAGGAGTAAATTCTCCTGTGATAGATTCACTCTGATGCAGGAATTCAGCCAACAGCATCCTGGACTCATCCCCACACTGTGGGCAGCAGGTGAGGGGGAATTCTGGCCCTCCCCTCTTGCCACCTCTGTGGTATCAACAGCAGAAGCATGTGGAGCTGCTGGAGAGAGTCCAGAGGAGGCCATAATGATGCTCCAAGGGCTGAAGCCCCTCTGCCATGGAGCCAGGCTGGGAGAGCTGGGGGTGTCCAGCCTGGAGAAGAGAAGGCTCCAAGGACACCTCAGAGCCCCTTCCAGTGCCTCAAGGGGCTCCCAGAGATCTGCAGAGGGACTTGGGACAAGGCCCTAGAGGGACAGGACAAGGAGGAATGGCTTCCCACTGCCAGAGGGCAGTGTGAGATGGGATATTGGGAAGGAATTCTTGGCTGTGAGGGTGGGGAGGCACTGGCACAGGTTGACCAGAGGAGCTGTGGCTACCCCATCCCCAGAAGCGCTCAAGGCCAGGTTGGATGGGGCTTGGAGCAACTTGGTCTAGTGGAAGGGATCCCTGTCCATGGCTGGAGGTTGGGACTGGATGATCTTTAAGGTCCTTCCAACCCAAACCAGTTTGGGATCTATGATTCTAACATGATTTCCATGACTTTCTGGGGTGTTTTGGCAGGACATGTGGTCTCTCTGCACTTTTACCACTAACCAAAGGGTAAAGAACGCTACAATTTTCAGATATTTCACAATTAAAGAGCAGCTGCCAGGGCAGAGCTCAGAGCAGACAGAAGTCATGACCACTGCCAACATAACTCGGTGCACAGGGTTTCCACACATCCACTGCTGTCCTCTATTTCTACATCCAAGCACTGAAGATCTCCAAGTCTTTGCTTTGGAGCAGGTGATTGTACTAGGGAAACACGATTCAATCACTTCAGTGATCCTCTCGCAAAGTGGATCTCCTCCCTTCCAGGGAAAGCTTACCTGGGCTGATGGGAGTCCTCCATGACAGACGGTTTGGAGATTTTTGCATCACTATTTGCTGTCTGCCTCTTTCTTGCTCCCTCTTTCACATCCAGATCCTTGGTGGAAGTTGTTCCATGAATTTTTGATGGTAAAACATCACCTGCATCTCTGCTAGAAGGAGAAGGGCCACTTCTTTCCTTCCTGACAAGGAGGAAAAGATGAATTAACCAGGTTAATTAATTGCTTCAGCAGAGGAAACCAGAACCAAAACATGCTGCAGGTGTAAGCTTTGCTGATTTAAAAACCAGTGGTGTGTGATGGAGCTTCTACCAAAGTTTGCAGGGAAATACGCACTGGCAAGGAATAAAATCAGCCTTGTTCCCAAAAATCCTTAATTCTCAGAGTGAAGGGACTGCCTTGTGTAGCAGATATTATGGAATACAGCACAGACTGGACTAGCTCTTTTGAGAAGGATCACCAGGACAACAGTCCCACTCTCTCTAGCTTGAGACACAGCTGCACACAGGATAACCCTCTTTGCCTTCAGAGGCACCTCCAAACCAAATCTCCAAGGATTTGAAGAGTTTGTGGAGGTGACCTGAGGGTTTTTTTCCCCTCAGGTCCCTACCACAAACACCTCCAGCCTCAACTGCAGGGAGTAGAATCATCATAGAATCCTGGAATGGTGTGGATTGGAAGGACCTTAAAGCTCAGCCAGTTCCACTCCCTGGGACACCTTCCACTAGCCCAGGTTGCTCCAAGCCCCATCCAACCTGGCCTGGAACAATCCCAGGGAAGGGGCAGCCGCAGCTGCTCTGGGTGTCCTGTGCCAGTGCCTCAGCACCCTCACACAACAGTAGAGAGGAGTCCACCGTGTCATGTGAATACAAAAGCCTTAGTGGTTCCTCTCCTCTCTGAGGAGGAATCTGGGGAAATGACAGGGAGGAACCAAGCAGGGACCTTACTTCCATAAATTAAAGGAGCTTTCTCTGCTCAGGACTGACTGCTATTTCCCCCTTCCCTCTCAAAATCTCTTCTTCTCTGCTCCACTGACAGCTCCCTCTGTGCCTTCCTCCATGAGCTGCTCATTCCCGCTTGTCCAGAGCTGGTCACGGCTAAGTGCCAGGTCCTGCACTTGGGTCACACAACCCCATGGAATACTCCAGAATTGGGGCAGAGTGCCTGGAATGCTGGAAAATGCCCTTGGGGTGCTGGTGACAGTGGCTGGACATGAGCCCAGTGTGTCCAGGTAGACAAGAAGGTCAATGGCACCTGGTTTGTACCAGCCCCAGTGTGGGCACAGCCCCAGGGCAGTGCCTGTCCCTGTGCTGGCACTGCTGAGGCACCTACAGTCCTGGGGCAGTTCTGGGCCCCGCACAACAAGAAGGACATTGAGGAGCTGGAGCATGTCTAGGGAAGGGAACAGAGCTGGGGAAGGGAATGGAGCACCAGGAATGGCTGAGGGAGCTGGGGGAGCTCAGTCTGGAGAAAAGGTGGCTCAGGGAGACCTTCTGGCTCTCTGCAACTCCCTGACAGGAGGTGCAGCCAGGTGGGGGTTCAGGGTCTGCTCCCAGGAAACAAGGGACAGGACAAGAGGAAACAGCCTCAAGCATTGCCAGAGGAGGTTCAGGTTGGATATTGGGAATATTCCTCCTGGAAAGAGCTATTGAGCCCTGGCACAGGCTGCCCAAGGCAG